GGGGGGGCGGGGGTCACGTATTCCGCAGGCTCCGGCTGCAGACTCGCCGTGGGACCTTCTGTGATTGCACTGAGCGCGCTGCTCCTGTCTCCCCGCCGACCCGTCCTCCTGGGGACGGCCTGTCTGCAGAGCTGGCCGAGCAGTTCTCCGAGGCGCCCGCATCACATTCCGAAGACAAGGAGACCGATGGCTCCATTCGTCTCGCGACTCCGCCTGACTCAATGGCAGTTGGCCTTTTCTAGCCTGACCCAGGCTTTTTCAGGTCATACATATTTCATTTTTTAATTTATTATTGATTTGTGTTGATAGTAGGTAACTCCGTGAATGCTGAGGTTGGAAATCTGTTGTAAATATTACTGCGCCTCGCCTCCTCTGTCTGGCTCTGGGTGTTTATCACATGGATGTAAAACAGTGAGGCTACCTGGAGAAAATGGATTTGGGATTTTTAATTTATCTGATGTAGTTAATTAACTGGCCATTTGAAAATAAAAGGACCATTAGTGCCGAGCACATCGGTCCTGATGATGAACGCGCCGTCGGGAAACGGGCCTGGACCGGGCTGCGAAGCCCACGTTGGACAAAGCGGCTCTGGGTAGGGGAGGAGTGGCGGCCGTCAAGGGGCCGCGCAAGCAAGATGCTCGAGAGAGAAGCTGCCGCTATTCTAGGCGCTGTTCCTCCGAAATCACCCTGTATGGCCAAGGCCATTCGTAGTCGTTTCTTGTTCCGACACCCAAAGCGAGACAATCGTTTCAGACAACAAAGGGGGCAAGAAACAGGCGTCATTTGCAACTGGCCTGAGGGTTTCTGTGAACGGTGGGAATCCATGAGCATCGCTCCGGGTCACACCACCCGGACCGGTGTCCCACAGATGCGCCTGCAGACGTCAAAGAGCCTCAGGTGGCCAGGGCGGACAGCACAGCTCCCCCCGCCCTGGTCACTAGGTGACGAGCCCGTCCCCGGGGCATTCTCCGTGGGGGTGTGGCTGGTGACCCGCTGGGCCTCTTCGGGAGCCCCTTCCAAAGGTTTGAGCCAGAGCCGCCCCTGCCCACCCACCTGCCTTTTTATTCAAGCAAATGGCCCAGGAGAGCCGGAAAGCTTCCTTATAAAAGAAAATGAACACAGACGCCCTCTGCCTCCTGGCCCCTCCCACTGCGCCCGTGTCCGTGTCCGCTGGGCAGAGCGCAGGGAGTGTGACGGCCCCTCCCAGAGCCCCCGCGGTCAGAGGTCCGGCCAGGACGGGGCCCCCGGCCACGAGCGGCTCATCCTTCCAGCCTCAGCTCAACATGCTGCTTGAACCCCACACCACACATCACATAGGTTCATAGACGTCACTTTTTTCTTCAGTGCGTTACCGTGTGTGCGTGTGCGTGTGCGTGTCTCTGTGTTGGGTTTGGCTGTTTTGTTAAATGTCTGTGTCCCTCATAAAAGAGCAAGACCTCAGGGGTAGGACTGAAGGGTTCTGGGGTCGCCTCTAACACCTACATAGCTATTGTCTTGCAGAGAATGGATATAAATACATATATACACATATACATCGATATTTGTTGAAAAAATTATAAACGAATGGCTATATAGAATGTGACTTCATTTACGTCTAACGAGTTGGAATGTTCAATGTCCAACGAAATGGAAAAGTGATGGAGGATGTGAGAGAATTGGGAAGGGACAGTATTAACTCACGTAACACGTGGACCCGGATGTTGTTCATTTTGCCTTCGATTTCTATTCCCTGTTTAAATTTGAAAGCATTAAACTTACACATCATAAAACTTAAACCTGAGTAGGGTCATTGTTTGTTTGTTTGTTGTTTAAGTTGGAGTAGCTAGTACCAGAAAAAAAGAAAGGTTTTTAGAATTTAAATATATCAGGAAATGATCAAAATGTCATTACTTATTAGTTTTGTGATTAAAATCCACATACTTCCAAAACGTATCTGAAATTGCAAGAAAATATTAAAGAGATTAACCAAAGAACTTAGATGCTTATAGTGCAGTGACGGCGAAGGCCCAGAGGGGTGGGGGTGGAGGGAGTCCATGGGGAAAGGGGGGCATCTGTAATATTCTCAACAATAAAGATAAATTAATATATATATTTCCACTCAATCAAAAGTTCCCAAAGGGCCCTATCGTTTGCTATGTAACAGGCCTATCAAGTGTGACCTACATGAGTTTATTCTGTACTTTTTTTGAGATTATGAGCCTCTTATTAGATTTCTCGTTGGGAGTAAAGGCCAAGCAAACACTTTATCTCGAATTCATTTATCATTGGAAAGTATAGATGTCAAAATGAATTAGAGGAAATTATGATGTAATCCCGTAAGAGAAGCGTGCCCGCCCTCGAAAGATAACACATCCAGAAACTGATGTCTGCAGACATTTCATGGCACGATATTAACTTCACTTCTATAACATTAGGAAAAATAATGTTTCCTAATGAGCATATTATAGAGCCATGATATACCGTATAACATTCTAATATAATAAATTATATAATGTATTAGGAAAGGTATTGTCTTCTCTTTTTTTTTAAATTAAAGGGGTGTTTTTATTTTAATGTTTTTTGTTTATTAAATTTACTGGGGTAGCATTGTTAATAGGTTTAATGTTTCCTAATGAACATATTCTCAACAACTTTGATAAAAACACTATTGATGTTGTTTTCAATTATGTTGATAAAAATATTGAAAAACCCATGAAACATATAAAATCACTATATATGTGTGTGTGTATCCATCCATATATATACATGCAATATTTTATATCATTCCTTTATTCCTAATGGTGTAAAATCAAGAATAAAAGCCAACAACAGAATTTCAGGAGTTGGTTTCAATTTTCTTTAACATTTCCAAAACACCGGACTTAAAACTATACTAATGAAAGTTTTAATGCACATGGAATACGTTCAACAAACTTCATTCCAATCCATGAACTGCAGCAGCAAAGGTCATGGCAAACGAACCGTGTAACCAGGGGGTGAACCAGAATTATGAAACTTTGCAAAATATACATTATTTATAAAAATAGAACTTTCATTGTTGTTTTTTTTGAGTAGTGATATCTTAAAATTAAAATGCAACAATCTGTATACATTTGAAAATACGCACGTTTGTATATTTGCCTTTTCACGACAATTTTGTTCCTTCCAGGCTTTGGGGACGCTGCCGGGGAGACAGGCTTTATTTCCCGCTGACTGTATGGAGAAATTCTGACTTTGGAAAGTGGAAATGAGGTTGCTATGGAAACTGGTAATTCTGCTACCTCTCATACAAGCTTGTGCAGGTAACGTGTTCTGTTTTTATAAATTTTGATCGATACACTATTGGAGTTCTAGTTTTCTCTCAGGTGACACAACTTTCAAATGTGTAATAAATACTAAGTCGTCTGAATGACTGAAGTCGTCTTCATTTTGAAGGTGATCTCTGTGGCTAATCCAGGGAGTTTAATCCTTTAAAAAAGTATCAAGTGCTATTTTCAGGCAAAACTAAGATTATTTTAATTATAAACTGTCAAATATTAAATTTTTACAGAGAGGAATGTGATTAAGTGGTTCTGTCATCAATAAATAATAAGAATAGTTCCTTTTTATTTCCTTTATAGTGAATTCTTTAAGAAGGTAAAATGGAAACATACATTTTCCATCACATTTAGAACTTGATGTGTAAAAAAGTTATATTATTATAGAAGAAAAAGTGGCCTAGAACGTTCCACCAGAACTAAATTAACTTTTGATTTTTTCTTTCCATTTCAACGATACATTGGTTTATTGAGGCTGAATATATTGTCTGTATCAGTTAGCTTTTGCTTTGTAACAAGCCGTCCCCAAATCTGCATGGGTTGAAATAACAAATAACTGTGTATTTAGTTTACAAGCCTGTGAATTGATCATTCAGAATGGGCTTAACTGGGCTCTTCTCTCGGTTTTGCCCGGGCGCGTCACTTCTGCGGGCAGCGACGGGGCCACCGAGGGCCTGGCTAGTCTAGGACACTCTCAGCTGAGGCCACTGGGCCGGCGTTGCCCTGGTCCCAGTGTCTCCCGTCCCCTGTGGTCTGCGCTCTTTCCCACGGGGCCCGCTCGGGTTCCAGCAGAACTCAGACGTGGGCAGGCTTGTCGCTGAGACAGTGTCATTTCTGTCTTGCTCTTTTAACCAGTGAAAGTCACGTGGCCAGTCGAGGGTGTGGGATTAGGTCCCAGCTCAGGACAGACGCTGCAAAGCTGCACCGAGAAGGGTGTGGAACAGCGGAGGGAAGGGGAGCGTCTGCCTTTCCCAGTAACCAGTCTGAGCGTCACCGCTTTCTGCTCTCAGCTGTCGAGCTTACCTGTGTGAGCGGTCGACGAGCCTGGACGCCGACTGGGTCATCCGAGTGTCACACCAGGCCGCTTCCCGCCAGCTGTGACGCGGGCGCTGTTCACTTCCACGTGTTCGTAACAGAGCAGTAATATCCTGGGGGAAACACGGGAACAAACAATAACTTAGAAGCCAGAGGCACAGTCATTGTAAGAGCCATACATTGATAGCATGTCCAAGGAATGGAAAGATATACTGATCTTAAAAGCTCCGAGAAAGCTAAAATATGCAGAAATCAACCATTGGAATCAGAAACCCATATAAATAAAGATATTTTTACCACTGGCTAGAAGTGCCACCGTCATATTTATTCAAAGTGATTGTGTCACTTCCAACTCTGTAACCAAGATTCCAAGTCAAAGAATAATAGCCTTTTTTTATTAATAGATTTAAAAAGACCGAGTCATCAAGGGGCCCAAACTGTCCACGTGTGAATAAGAATTCTGTTCCTACTCTCAAGTTCCAGCTTCTGTGAAAATTTAATATTATCATTTTGCCCTTTAAATATGTATTTGAATCAGCACAGTATCTCGGAAAGACCTTTTGTGTTCCATTAAGATAAATTATTGTTCTCAGAACACAGATCAGATCCCAGGCATCCTCCAGTTCTTCTGTTAACTTATTTAAGTTGGATGGGATTCAACGTGTCCTTCTGCTTTGTTCTAAAGGGAAAAGTAATCGTATATCCTTGGTGTACACTCTCCTCGTGAGAGAGCCTGGAAAAGGTTTGTCGCGGGTCTGAAGCAGGAGCCGGGAACCTGTGGGATCGGATTCTGCTGATGTAAAAAGTCCCACGGGCGGAAACCCAGCCTCACCGATGTGCTCAACTGTTAAATTTCCCTCTCGTGGAAAAAGGCTCGGAATAGCCCAGATGTTGTTCTACCTTTACATTTTTGACTTTTTATGTAAAATTTGAGACATTAGAGGCAGATTTCAAAATTCAAGTCCAAATCTTTAAAAATTTGAGGTTTTAAATATTAAATAAGTTAATCACTAAGGTACAGTGATGATCAGCTAGACCTCAGGCTCCGTATGTTACGCTGGGTGCTATGCATGTTACGAGTCATCCGGGCTCAGAGGTGGTACAGTTTCAAACCCGGGGCCTAAGGGAAGCCCCGTGGCCTCAAACAGCATCCTGAAGGCCACCGGCTGGTGTCACAGACTCGGACACAGTGGGGGAGAGTGAACGTCCCAGTGTCAAGAATTTATTTCCGTGACATTCGGTATTCACATCGTCTCAAGAATTCCTGCCGAACATATTCTCTTTTAACTTGGTTATTTTAGCAAAACCGTATCGTTTAAACGGCTGTTTTTAAGCAACCCTTTGGCCCTTGAATGTAAGCGGGTGTCAGCGTTTGTTGGCCGTGGGGCGAGGGCCTCCACAGGAACCTGTGAAACTACACCTGACCCCACCTGGCCCGTCCTGAGGAAGCGCCGGCCGCTGGGGCGAGGCTCGGCTTTTCCCGGGAGAGACGGGCTCGAGGAAGCGGCCATGGCCGGAGTCACAGTCCCGGGCCTCCGTCGGGCATCCTGGCCAGTGCGGGACGTGGGGCGTCCTCGGGGCGCCGTGAGCCCGCTCCCCCCACCCCATTAATTACCCTCGGGACTAAGCTGAGGCTGGAAACTGTGAGACGTCTTTCCTGCGCCATCTGCACATCCCACCCATTGAAAAACGTGCTTCTGTTCGTTTCGGAACTTCTCCCAAAGTCACTGATTCTTAAACTTGAATGAAGTCATTTAGGGGCTTAACCAATAAAGAAAAGTCCGTTTGTCAGCCCTTTGACACGGCTGCCAGTTTTACGTAAGGACCAGGCAGCCAAGGGCTCGGACAGACGCTGGCCCCGGCGTCCTCGCTGTCAGAGCGCAGGGACCAGGGCCATGGAAGTGTCTACAATCGCCTGGATGCCCGTTTCCAACATAACCTTGCACTGAACTGAGGACCAAAGTGCATGAAGTCCCTGCGAGAAAGCCACGCGGAAGGACCGAGATTTCTTCGAAGGTGGTGATGACTCACAGGGCAGACGGAGCGGATCCCACGTGGCCGGCGCTCCGCTCCCTCCGGCCTCCCGCGTGGCCATGGTCAGCACAACGGGGCCTTCAGGAGCCGAGCGCCGGGCTGTATTTTCAAGTCCATCGGCATCTCCGCGGTTTCTAGTGGAGACGGCCCGGTTTGGAAATGCTGAGAGCACCGTTTTCCCACGATGCCTCCTGACGAGGGTGGTGACGGGTGATCCGATCTCCCTCCGGAGGCAGTGACTCCGAAACCCTACATGGGATTGTTTTCTAGGGCCGATAACAACGTGGAAAACCTTCCTGTTGGGTCAGCATCCAAAGGGGGTGCTGGGCACTCGAACCAGGCCCCCCGTGAGGACGCGGCCCTTGGGGAAGGGGGTGCGGGGCACTGCTCTCCTCTTGAATCTTCGAAGGAGAGGCCACGTCTTCCGGGAGGTGGTACCACAGGTCGTATTTTCATTTTAAAGGGCTGTGAGTGGCGCTGCCAAGGGGATGGACGACAAGCTTCTCTTCTTCCACTTAAAGCTGTCCTGAGATTGAGAATCAACTACGTGGCGTGGCCAGCAAGACACCGGACAGCGTGACCCTCGTCAGCCTCGCCCACCCCGGCGCACGGAGTCCCCTTGCTCGCTGCTCAGCAGCCACACTTCCTCTCGCGCTCGGAGAAATCCCGCCGCTCCCTGCGCAGGGCCCGGGAGACCCTCCTGAGGACACTGACGGGTCTTCACTCTGTGCGGAGCCTTCCAGGCCCGTTTCCTGGGAAGCTGACTGTCTGGTCGAGCATTCAGATGCCATTTCCTTCAACCAACACTGAAAGTTCTCCATTAACCCAGCCCGGCCCGTGCCAGGAGCCACGGCTTCCCTTCCTCCCTTCCTGGGCCCCTCGCGTCCGCTGTCCTCCTGGCGAGGCCTCCGCACGGTCGGTCCCCTCCCCGAGGCTCTGTCTGCGCCTGCTCTGCCCACCTCCGGGTCCGCCGTCCCCTCCTGAGCCAAAGCCCAACCTTCTCAGCCGCGTTCGCCTGGGACCTGCACCCTCAACAAGCCTCCAAGCGTCAAACCAGTGCCCCTTCCCTTCACCCTAGCCCATGAAGCAGTTAATCGCTCGCACAGCTTTGCTTAAAAAGAGGTCACTTTTCTCAAATATACTCTCAGTCTGGGAACTACACAGTATGTATTCCTGTTGGAAATAAGTCGGGCCCTGGTGGGTGTGCTCAGTGGTTAGAGCGCCGGCCTGCGCACCTGAGGGCCGTGGGCTCGAGTCCCGGTCAAGGACACGAACCCGGGCTGCAGGCCTGATCCCTGGCCCCAGCTGCTGCAAGTGCGGGAGGCACCGGTGGGTGTGTCTCTCACATCCATGTTTCTCTCCCCCCCCTTCCACTCTCTAAAATTCAGTGGAAAAAATATCCTCAGTGACGATTAACTAACCAAGTTTATACTCACAGAAAGCTCCATTCTGAAAGGAAAGGAAAGACTAACCTTTGCGAGTTGGTTAGTTCTGCCCCGCAGCTGGTGCTGCGCAGTTACAGAATTTTCTGTGCAGTTCCGTCTGCGCGGAGGGGCAGGGCCGGGCGACTGTGTCCTTCTGTAGCCGAGACGCCGGACGGCCGGGGGACAGGAATGGCCAGGTCCACGGGGCGGGGAAACGGCAGAGGTCGCGGTGAGGTTCCCAAGCTCGGATGGGAGCTTCCGTCAGCGTTTATTCGAGACATCGCAGCTTGACGCAGATCAGGCTTCTGTTAACAGTTGGCTTTTTAAAGGTGGCGTTGACTGTGCCCCGAGACGCGCTTCTGCTCAGAGGGAAATGGGATTTAAAGAGAGAGTCTCCAAAACTTCATAACCACCAACGGGGAGTAATAGCTACGGGCACGTAAACCCAACATGTTTACCTTTATGTCATGTAAGGTATAAAATACAAGCCGT